AAATAATTTATAAAACTTTCTTTTAAGAACAGCAATAAACCAAACAATAAGAAAACAAAACAAGGGCCGGGTATTTAGCTCAGTGGTTCCACCGCCTGCTGCGCAAGCGCAAGGTCCCGAGTTTGATCCCTGGTACCAAAAAAACAAAAAACCCGGAATCTCTGTGTTGTTTTAATTTGTATTTTTCTAATGATCAGGGATCCTGAAGCTTTTTAAAATCAGCTAATTGGGTGCGGGGGATTTAGCTCAGTGGTGCCACTGCCTGCCTCGAAAACACCAGGTCCTGAGTTCGATCCCCGGTACCCCCCCAAATCAGCTAATTGGCTGGGAGCCCTTGTTCCTTCAGTGCCATCCCATCCGTTGTCTGGGGGGGACAGCGAGGAGGCCTCTGTGGAGAGCACCTGCCTGTGTCCCTTGCTCTGGGGAGCTGGGCAGTGGCCGGCTCTTGGAGATACTGAGAGCCAGAGGTGACTCTTGTTCCTCCTTGTGGGCAGTGCTGGGTCCCCCAGTGTGGACGGGTGAGAACCCCAATCCTTAACTCAGGCCCAATGCTCTAGGCTGGTGACCATCCGTGTGACCTTTGAAGAGGGCTGTTCTTTTCCTGGCCACTTTGGGTCACAGGATCACAGAGAAGGGAGCCTCACAGGGGGATAGAAATTGTTTGTCAGCCCCCTGAATCATTCCACAAGCTCTGCTTATTTCATATTTATCACATAACTCATGGCCTGACATGAACCCCCAAACACTCGTGGTAGGTGCTATAATCTGCTCCTCTCCTTTCATAACCCTAATTTTCTATATACTTAGAGAAGGAGGGTTATATGGCAGAGTGATTTTCTCAATAATACTTAATTCTGAATAACTTAGTACAGAGTTTAACTGGCCTTTGGTGACGCCTGAAGATTACTGTAAAATCAGATGAGAATTAATCTCCTCCAGTGTTCAGCACTGTGGCCAAGAGCATTTTAAAATATATTTCACCCCTTAAAGCTTCCTATAAACTATTTATGAAATTCTAAGTCAGTACACCTGTAATCCTTAGCGTCCAGCCCAGGGCAGTACTGGTGAACCTGCTGCAATGTGTTACAGATGTGCTGTAGCAACCAGGGAGGGAGGAGGAGGCACCATTGCCAGGCATCAGAACTATCTGCCACGGTACTAGATGAATTTGAGTTACTTTCAGGTAAGCACCAAAAACTCCTATGGGATAGCCACTTATCCCATCTTACAGGACAGGAAATTGAGGCTTGTGAAGTTTAAGCGTCTTGCCTAGCTCACAGTGACCGTCAGGAGCGTGGTCAGGACACAAGCCCTGCTGGCGCCCTGGGAATCATCTTCTGACCTCCATCTAGGCCATCCAGTCTGATGCCAAGTGTCCCTGGCAGGGTGCAGACGGGGTCAGAGGCTCCATGCTGGATCTGATTTGGGGTAGATGGAGGCAGATGTATGTGCCTGTGTCATCTGGCTCCTGGAAGACAAGAAATGATGACCAAAGTGGCACTCCTTTCACAAAGGGACTGGCAGGGCTAAGGGAAGGACCAGGGCACCTGAGGCACTTGGGAAGGTCACCCCTCCAGGCTTGAGGGGACCAGGAAGGGGCATGGCAGGTGGCCAGTGTGGTGTGGGAAGGAGGTCCCCCTAAGCTGTGGCCCAGGCTGGAGGACCCTTCCAACCTGCACCTCAGGACACTGAAGCTAGAGCTCCAGGGTTACCAGTGTTACCACTCCTTGGTGTGTTTACTGTAAGGAGTTGAAGCTCACTCTCCTGTCGGCTCCCTGCCAGTTCTCAGAGGTCCACTTCTTTTTCTCTCTTTGCAGGGTCGCTGTTTTCCTGGTGTCTGGATTCCAGGTCCAGGGAGGCTGTGTTTTGCTGCCAGTCTCTACTCTGCTGGTCTGGAAGCAGCAACCTCTCCACCCTGAACCCTGGTGTCCTGTATGACAAGGGTATCGGCCATTGCACTAATGAAAACATGAATATAAATATAATTGTATTTACTGAAAGGAACTGTGCCCTGTACACTACTGTTACCTCATTAACAGAAAACACAATATATGTTAGTGAAATTTCCACATCAAATCAACTTCATTCTCTGTAATAGCTGCATATTATTCTACTTCATTATATTGTTTCTAGTTCTTTTCTATTGAAAGCAATATTACAATAAATAACCCTATGTAAGATGGGCACAATGGCACATACCTATACTCCCAACTGTTGTGGATGCTGAGACAGGAGGATTGCTTAAGTGCAGGAGTTCAAAACCAACTTGGGTAACATAGTAGGATCCCATCTTGAAAAAATTAATAAAATGAGAAAAAGAAATATATCTTTGTACATTTATGGAATTGGACTCTGTCTTCGTTACTTTTTGTAGCAGACACCTCTGCCCAGTATTAGCAGGTGATAGTGGCACAAGCTTTTTGCCCCTCTATAATTTGGCTGTATTGTCTTAGGAGTCTGAGCGAAGCTTTATGTGACTCAAATGGACATGTCGGATAGCAGAATTGGGCTAGTATTGCTCCTTTGCTAATGTCTGCTACTGAGACTTAAATCCTAGTGCTGAAGTAGCAGGGCTCGGCTGAGTTCACTTCCAGCCAAGCTCAACTGACTTCAACTAAATTATTCCCCTCTGAATTAACCATTTGTTCTCTTCTGCAAAACATATGCTAGAGCCCTCCTGCTTATGATACTTGCTATCAGCATGTGTCCCGAGGCCTGTCCAGCTTCCCTCCTTCCCACACTCGTAATAAATAAACACTGGATGGCCTTGGAGTCCTTTGTTTTTGCTGCCCAGAGCAGCTTGGATCAACCAAAGACTCAGTTTGTTTCAAGACTCAGTCTCCGTGACTTTATTCCCACTTTCCTCTCTCTCAGGCATTGTACTGGCTCGCAGAAGATCGAGACCCGTGGCCAGGGTTTTCAATAATGTCTCTTACAACTTTTTTCTCATTGCTGAGACAAAATACCTGACACCAAAGGTTAAAGGAGGAAAGGTTTATGGTAGCTCACAGTTTGTAGAGGTTTCAGTCCACAGTTAGCTGGCTCTAAGGCAGAGTGGGACATGGCAGAAGAGAAACGGTTCATGGACGGCGGCAAAGCAGTGAAGTAGTGAAGCAGCAAGTGACAACAGTGACCCTCTTTCTGTCCCTTATATTCTATCCAGGCTACACACCCTTAGGGCAGGTAGCACTCACATCCATGGTGGATCTTCCCCTTATCCACACTCAGAACTGTGCCAAACCAGTCAGTGGAGTAATTTAGTAAAAAAACACCCAGCATCACACACTCTAGATCCAGCCACCTCTGAAAAGCCCCATCTGTGACCGTGCGAGGCTTTGGAGGGACAGCTAGATACAGTCATAACAAACTCAGAACTCCTAGAAGTTAAATAGCTGAATTAAAGGTATGCACACTTTATCAAGTAGCACATGATAGAGCATGTGACAGAGTGCCTGCTAACATGCAAAAGGCCTTGGGTCTAAACGCCATCGCCTAAAAAAGAAAAAGATGTGTTTGTTACCAGCTAGCATGGATCCTTGCTATAGTGATAATAAAAATTAAAACTAAAGCATGAATTTGCAAAAACAAAAACTTTAATTAATAGTAAAAGAAAAAAGGGGAACACAGCTATGACAAAGGTTAAGCCAGTCCTCTGACAAGGAAAGTCAGAGCAGTAAGGACAGCATGCGGCTTGGGGAGCTGGAGGTCCACTCTTTGTTTTGTTTTTTGGTTTTTTGAGACGGTCTATGTAGCCCAGGCTGGCCTCGAACTCCTGGTGATCCTTCTGCCTCTGCCTCCCCAGTGCTGGGATGACAGGCATGCACCACCACACCCTGTTTGGAGGCCCACTGTGATGCACCCATGCAAGCAGAAGGCCAGCTCCTAGGGTCAGCCAAGGCAGCCAGGGTCCCGCTGACCATGAGGTGATCGTGGTCTGGGTCCTGGTTTCCTGGATCTAGAGGGGTCCTCATGCCTTGACGAGCAGTTCTGGTTCCATTCCATGAAACGGTTCTCTGTTTGTGGTGGTTCCCATCCTGAGAGGCTCTGCTGTTCCTGAATCCAGGTGGTCATGGGTTTAGGGTGATGGCTGGAGGTGTCTAAGTGCCCTTCCAGCAAGGGGTCTGTAATTCGACTTGTGAAAGTTGATAATCAGGTGTTTCTGTAAATCCTGAAAATTATTTCTTTTTGTCCTGGTGTCCTCCTTCTTGAAGGAGGTGAGACAGGTAAGTTGGGGCTAACAAGCTCTGTTCTGCTGACTTTGACCAGACACTCCCTCACTGACCACATGCACAGCTGAGAAGTGTTTGACCCTGACTTTCACAAAATGGAGGCCAAGCTTTGTTCTCCTTTCAGATAGCAACTGGGCATTTGCAGGCTTGAGGGAACAGCCATGGGCTTTAGCAAAAACTGTTTTGAAGTCCCTGTCTGTGTCAGAAGGAACCACAAACTGCACCAGCAGAGAGAGGAGGAAGGAGCCAGGCTGGAGACACAGCCTCGGGGCTGTACCAATAGTGATGGTGCATTCCAACCAGACCCTGACTCCTACCAGCACCTTCAGCTCAGAACTCTGAGCACCAGGATGATGTGGAGTCCCCGGAGATGGCACCAGAGGGCTGATTCCCAGGGTGCATTTGGAAGACACCCACCTTGCCTTCTGCCCATGATTATGAAGCAGGGCAATGTCCAGGATCACACGTTGTGATGTCACCGGCTGGGCTCACCATGTGAGCAGGTGCAGAAAGAACACAACACTGGAACAGTTGCTTTCTAAGGGAGAAGGGAGGGGAGGTCTAAGGATGGGTGGTAAAGGTGCAGGTCCCAGGGGTGCTGCTGTGTGAGCCTCCCTGCGGGGGCCATTGCTAGGCTGACTGAGCCTGGCCAGGCAGAGCGGGATGCAAGTGCCAGGTGCCAGGAGCTTTTCCTCTCCATCTCAGTGCAGGGACCACTGCACAGAGGGGTAGCAGTTCACTCAAAGATGCAGAGCTGGCTGTGGGAGGGTTTGAATCCAGGTCTGACACCATCTGCGGGCTCAGATACCACTCTATGCAGCACTTCAACGGGGTTGTGCTTGTGTGTTCTTTAGTTCATGAGTTAGACTGGTGGCACTGGTAGCAGACGGCAGTACTACAGTTTAGCCTTCTGGAGATAAAGCAGTAATTTGTCAGGAGAGCGTGAGGCCCATATGACAGTCCAGGAAGGAGGTCCCCTTATCCCCTCCATGCCCATCACATGGAGCACGTGGGTTCCTGTGAAGAGTGACACTTCAGCTGTGAGGCTACTTGGAGGGCAGGTGGGCCAAGGTCAGTAACAAGGAACTAAGGGTCAGCTGACATATCTGTGCTCACAGGTGTCTCTCCAAGGCTGCCCAAGCCCCCTAGCATCCCTGGCAGGGGAGCAGGCTGGGGTGCAGGCCAGTGCATCAGAAGTCCTCAGGGGTAGAGCACAGTCACCCACCCTGGGGAGTCGGTCTCTCCTGCCAGTGGCTCACAGGTGGGTGCAGCCATCCAGCAATGTCTCCCCTGTCCCTCAGCCTGGGATCAACCCACCTGGTCACACAGTTTGACCCTCCAGGCCAAATGCCCCAGGGAAGTAGCCTCTCCTATTCTGGATTCTGGTGTCCTCCATGTCCTCTCCTGCCTGTTTTACCCTCTGAGGACACACGGTGGGTGGACACAGCACCAAGTGAAGGTGCCCAGGACACTAAAAAGAGGCCAGATGGGGACTCACAGCTTCCGAGGCCTCTTGCTTCCTTTCATAGATGGGAAGAAAAAGGTCTGCTGCAGATTACCATGTCTGGAATTTGATGATTGCAAGCCCATGACTGAGTGTAACACATTGCTCTGTCTTCTGCATTTTCTGTAACTTGCTAGCTGAGTCCGGAGGTGTGATGAGATTCAGATTTGAATTTGGGGTAAGGTGAGTTCCTGGTAGGTGTGTTCTCCCCCTGGAAGGCAGGTAACATCTGGTGGCTCTCTTGTGTAACATTAGCAGCTGTTGATACTCAATACCTGGCTTCCCGGGGGTTATAACAGTGATTGGTTATCATTTCCTCCCACTTTCCATCTGCATCGATTACTGGATCCCTTCTATAAAGAGAAATTGCCTGCCTCTGCTACTTGGTCACCCAGGGCATTGTCCCTCAGTGCTGGAGGATCCTGGGCACATAGAGTATCCCTGCCTCCATGTGGGGACACTGAAGTCGGAGGGCCAGAGTGGACTGTCACCAGCAGAACTGCCTGGCTGGGCCCCAGCTAACCCAGTGCCATCATACATGAATCAAAGGTGGTTGTGGTTGTTTAAGGCTGTAGATGATCAAGGAGTGTCCTCTGGTGGCAGAGCCAGGCCTGGGGTCCATGACCTGTTATTCTTCATAACAGGTCAGACCATGAAGCATCTTAAACAACATCCTGTATGGCCTTGTTGTTTATGGGGTAGCTGGGGGCCTGGAGGCACATGGACACACACAGGTTTGTTCAGGAGCCCAGGCTCTGGGCACCTCCTTAAGGGAAGCTCCCTGATCCCCCGTGGTCAGCACAGGCTCTGGTGACCACCTGGCATTCTCTCTGTGCAGCTGTGCTATGGCCCTGTGCTAGGCCTGCATTTGGCCTGGCCTCATTCCTCCTGTGACCCTAGCACGTCTAATAGATGCTTGCTGAGTACACATGGAAAGAGGAATGAGAGATGGTGCCACTCTTCTGGATGTGAGGAGCCAGGCTCTGGAGGACACCCCATGATGCCATCCCATTGGGATCTCCACAATGGATGAGTCCACTAAGGAAGGCAGAGCCCTCGGATCCAGTCAGCTCTGAGGCCTCCCCTGCATACTGCTGCTTCAGGGGCACCCAGGGAGCAGCCAACTGTCAGGCCCAGGGCAGGAGCCAGGGCTGTGGGATAAGTGGGCAGGGCTGGGGGCCATGGCCCCAGGAATTCCGCTAGTGAAGGAGCTGGAGGGGTCCTGCACCCCACCCTGGGCAGGGCCAATCCCCACAACATAGAAGCCAGCTGGGGAGCAGCAGTGGGGACAGGGGGCAGCAGGTGGCAGGGTTCAGCCACCCAGCTGGGACAGGGGCCAAACCCCAATTACAGGATGGAGGAAGCTAGGCCCCTGGTCCTCACACCAGGCAGATGACAAGGCAGGACCTTGGGGCCAAGGCTAAGTCAGGAGCCCTGTGTGCAGGACTGAGAGGAATGGAAACCCCACTCATCCCTGACTAAGCTTTCATCTCTCTCTCATGTTGAGACGTCCTGTGGGAATCGATCTAGAGGCAGCAGGGTGCTCCATGGTGCAAAGATGACAGAGAGAACACAGGCCCTGTGTCTTGTTGTCTGCCATC